GTGTGTGTGTGTGTGTGTGTGTGTGTGTGTGTGTGTGTGTGTGTGTGTGTGTGTGTGTGTGCAAAATGGGATGGCTTCGATTGGAGCGCAGCCGAGGTCGGTTGTGACTGGCCGGCGGCGCTTGCCGGAATGCGTGCCACAGGCTCGCGAGGGCATCCCGGCTCCGCCCCCGGGGGCGGGCGAGGAGGGGATGCTGGCACGGGCATCTCTTCTTGGCCTCGCTGTAGAACGGCCGCGCCGTATGGGACGCTTGCTTGAGGAGCCGTCCGAACGCCGGTGCTATGGCCTCATCGGTTCTTCTTTTGGTGACTTGTCAAATGCTCGCCCCTTCGTTGCCTCGTCTTGTGGCACCCCCGGTACGCGCGGTGACTGTCTAGCATTGTCCAAAGTGTGGCGGTTCCTCAAAGTTTTCGACACTGCCACAATGTCCTTGTTTGCATTTGGCGCCGGGCATTGTGGGATGCCAACGTCCGGAGATCTAGCCGTTTTGTTCTTAATTTACGACTCTTTATGTACTATTTTGATCGGACTAAAGGAGTGTAGGCGCAAGAGTGCACTGCATGTGCTAATTTGATTAAGTGTCGTTATTTGTTACATCAGTCCAAAACCATAAAACAAAAACCCCACATACTGTCAACATATTTATATATCATATGATTGTTAAAGTGCCCTATTTGTGAAATACAAAGTATCGTGTGTGAACCGTTTTGATTTGTTGGAATTGAGGAGATGTTTAATTATGTGTGCTGAACTGTTTGTCAAGGTTAAAAAAAAAAAATGTGTTGGGCACCTCAGGGTTGCGGTGGGGGGGCCGACGTTTGACGGTTTGCCCCCCGGGGGGTCCAACGTGTAGATAACGGTGGCCCCCGCCCTGCATACAAGCCAAAGCGTTACAACGTCGCCATCTACTGGCAACTGTTGGTCAGCACAGTTACGAAGGAGCTTGAATTTCACAGAGGAGCTGGGTTCGATTCTTTTCGACAGCGACCCGTTGAAAAACACACCTCATCGTGACCGCATTCATCAAAAAATCGTACTCTATCGTATCATAAAAAAATACAATGTGAACGTACGAACTGTTTTCCTTTTTGCTGATTTTTAATGGTTTTTTTTTCATCACGCTGTTATGCGGATGTGTGCAGATATATGCCCCCACCCAAAAAAAAAAAAAATAGCAGAGGCAATTGCATCAAGCAAGTAACTAAGTAAGACGTGAGTCAGAAAAAGACACCGGGAACAAAAGATGAGCTGATCTGCTGAACGCAGGTAAAAATAAAAAAGGCGAGCGGGTGAAGCAAAAAGGCAAGCTAGCCACCGGAGAAAAAACGGGGAAAAAAAAAAAAAAGAAAACTGGTAACAACTATTACACAAGAAACCAGACTCTAATCTCCACAAGGATAAACAATATTCCGGCGACAAGCTCGTCTCCCTCCAGCGCTTCTCAACCGAACTAATTGTGATGACAAGCAGGTGCGCCCCGGAGACGCCGCCGCTACGTCTCTCCCAGTAACTGAAAGGAAGAAAAACAAACAAACAAAGCGATCTGCATACCTGCCAGATGATAAACACACACTTTCCTCACTTTTATCGGCGTCTTCATCTTTTTGTGAACACGGGTTTGCAGCTTAGAAATGATTTTAGCACCCGTGGCGAGACTTCATCCGCTTCTGCTTCAGGGAAATGTTCACAGAGCCAACGTGGCGCCGCGAGCCCATCCATCCGCCCATCCATCCATCCATCCATCCATCCATCCATCCATCCATCCATCTGTTTTCAATCCGCTTCTACTCAGGCGGGTGGCGGGCGTGCCGGAGCCCATCCCAGCCGTCATCGGGCAGCAGGCGGGGCACGCCCTGAACCGGTCGCCAGCCCATCGCAGGGCCCACACAAATCGACAACCATTTGGAGTGTTGCATTCACCTTCCATGTATGTTTTTGGAACGTGGGAGGAAAGATTTGAGATGTAGCGCCCGCCCCTGTTTGGCGATTGACTTTACATACAGTATGCTTGTATGGAACAGCGTTGTTGTTGTTGTTGTTGTTGTTGTTTTTTTGTGTGTGTGTATACCATTGTCGTTCGTGACCCGTTAAACTTGCTGAATTGTCTCGTTGCAGGTGTGAAGTTTGACGCGCTCCCGCTGAAAATGTCGCGCAGAGACGATGACTTGTGACCTTCGTTCCAAAGCAAACCAGCAAAACAGGTGACTCAAAATATTTGTCTTTTTGTCTTTTTTTTTTTTTCTTCTGTTTGGTTAGTTGATTGTGTCTTTTTACCTACTCAGTATACTCAAACAGTTTGGTTGTGCCGCAGGGGGGGAGTTTGACAATTCCCCCTGTGAAGAAAGGATGTGACAAGTTGCAACAGTTCATGACAGGACAGAGGGAGCGAGTCAGGCGGGGCTTACAGGAGCCCAGTAGGGGAGTAGCGCCAAAACCCACGTGAACAATTGTGAGTGCAAATCGAGGACAGTCCGCGAAGTCAAGCTCCCACTTGTCAAACGAAAAAGTTTTGCCTCCTTCAAAGAAAACGCAACTGATACAAGTCGCCGCCGCGTCGCGGTGCGGTCGTGCCGTCGCGTGCGGATGTTCTCGTTTCATCCCGTCGTCGCACCGCGGCGGAGGAGGAGGATGTTAGCGCTCTCGGTGGCTGTTCGTGGAACAGTGTGAGAGTGTCGCGGTGTTGTAGCGATGGCGTAGAGGAGCGCTGTGATGCTCGAATTGTGCTAGCGTCGTAGTGCACTCGTGGCGTACTGCTTGTGCACAAGTGTCATCGTGTAGGAGAATAAAACCGTTATCGTGGAGTCTTGGTAGCGGAGTACTGTCATCGTGTCATAGCCTTGTAGAGTGATGTCGTTCTGGGATGTCATTGTGCAGTATTACTGTATTGTAGTAGCGTAGCGGTATTGTAGTGTTTCATAGTGTAGTTGCGTTAGTGTTTCAGTGTAGTTGTGTTGCAGTTTTAGTTTGAGAGGGTTGCCGTGTCATCGTCATCGTTTCATAGTATAGTTGTTTTGTTGCGTCCTAGTGTAGCCCCGCGATAGCATTAGCGTCAGAGTTCCGTGGTGTCGTGTCGCAGTGTCAGCGTGGTAAGTTTGATGATGTAGTTGTGTTGTGGTGTCATCGCGTAATGCTGTTGTGGTTCCAATCTCGGGGCTTCAAGGTTTGGTCGTGTTCTAGTATCGCAATATTGTCGGTGACATCGTTTCGTAGGGAAGTGGTACTGTAGCGTTATAGTGTAGTGGTGCTGTGGCGTCGTAGTATTGCCGTGTAGTTGTGTCATCGTGTGGTCGTGTTGCAGTAGTGGAGTGTAAAGGAATTATAGAGTAGTTGACGAGGTTCTTGGTGTCCTTCTGTCGTCGCCGCCTTGTAGCACTGCAGCGATTGAGTGTCGTGCACGGTTGTCGTATTGTGGTGGATGTCGTGTCAAAATGTCTTCAAGTGTCATCGTGTGGTTCTGTTGAAGTGCGTCAAGTGTGTATTATAGTGCAGTTGGGTCATAATGCAGCCGTGTTGTAGTTTAGTCGTGTCATATCGTAGTAGTGTGGTTTATGTGTTGGGGTACAGTAGAGAGGGATTCCTTCAGTCACTTCCAAAATCAGTTTCACCGATACACATGCAATCGGGTGACCATGGGCCATGTCTTGTGTCCTTTAATCTCAATGTTCCTCATTTTTGGGAATTGAGGACACTGATTGTTGAAGCTTAGCAGGTGGAACTCTTTCCTTTTCTCGCTTGATGTATAGCTCACCGGGGTACAATACGTTGTCGTATTTGACGCTTCAGAATGCGCCACGCACTTTTAATGGGAGACAGGTCTGGACTGCAGGCAGGCCGGTCTAGTATAATCGCACTCTTTCAAAATGAAGCCGCGCTGTTGTAACATGTGCAAAATGTGGTTCCAAACAGGTGTTTGATGAGCATTCCACAATGTTTTCAGTCTTCTTTAACACCCGAGCTGCAATAGAAATAATTCTGACACGCCGGCAGAGCATTTTCAGTGCGTGTCAATGACACGACGCCATCATTAGCAGACCTTTCCATCAAACGACAACATCAAGGAGTGATCGTCTCATGACCCCAAAACATTTCTACCACATCCCAATCTCCTCCATCCTCAATGAAAATTCTGTCTGTCTTTTTTTTTTTACAAGGATGTGTGAAAATGTGTGAAGGACCGCTTCTCTAAATTGAACAGGAAGTTGGCCGTTTTGGTTTTAGGAGCAGCCACTTTGGCTGACAAATCCTATCATAAAATGGATCTGGAAAGTTTGAGCCCCTGACATCAGTTTTGCGGATAAACATGACATTGGGTGGACGTGTCTATCATAACACAAAAACCAAAAAAGTCATCTATTCAAGGGCTTTGACAAACATCTACCAAGGAATTCACCCCCATCTAGAAGCATGTATCTGAGACAGATAGGCGACGCTACACTGCTAAGTGTTTTTGCTCTCACCATCTAATGTGGGCGGAGCATGGGGTGACAGCCATCATTTCAGTTTGTAGTCATCCGAAATGCTCAGTATCTGGTTTCTTGACCGCGGTTTTGATTGGTGCTGTCCTTCCCGGCTCACGATGGCCCATTCAAATCGCGTCCCAGTATTGTTTGCTTTGCTAGAATCCTGCTGACAGCTGGAATAACAAAACCAATAGATTAGTTTGTGTATGCTAGCACATGACAGGGTCGATGCGGTCACGCAAAAAGACACTTCGGGTTAGAGGGCAACTTATATAATGACAAATCGGGAGGGTTCCCCCCCACCCCACTTACCTCCAGGGTGTCAAAAAGAACTTGATTGTGTCTGTCCACCGCCAAATGTAAAGTCTGCACCAGGCCACGAGACTGTAGATGGGTCAATAAGACTACGAAGTGATCAGAATCACTTATCTGTCATGAAAATGGAGGGGTATCATGAAACACAGACATTCGCACACGCCTCTTCAAATGTGTTCATAAAAAAAAAAAAAAAAAAAAAAAAAAAAAGGGATATACGAGCTAACTAACTTTGGCACGTCCCACACGAGCCATCTTTCTCACTGATTCCCATCACCTTTTCACCATTCAATAAACGTTTGGGAACTGAGGACGCTAATTGTCAAAGCTTTGTCGATGGAATTCTTTCCCATTCTTGCTTGAGTTTCAGCTTGGGCTTTTCAACGGTCCAGAGTTTCCATTGTCGTGTCTTACGCCTCATAATGCTCCACACATTTTCAATGGGAGGCAGGTCAGGACTGTAGGCAGGCCAGTCGAGTACAACCGCACTCTTTCAAAACAAAGCCACGCTGTTGTCATGCGTGCAAAATGTGGTTTGGCATTGTCTGAAATAAGCAGAGGCGTCCATGAAAAAGACGTCGCTTGGATGGCAGCATGTGATTCTCCAAAAGCTTTGTGTGCCTTTCAGCATCAATTGGGCCTTCACAGATGTGGAAGTTACCCAAGCCATTGGCGCTAACGCAGCCCCATACCATCACACATGCTGGCTTTTGAACCTTGTGTCCATAACAGTCCGGATGGCCCGGAGAACACGACGTCCGCGATTTCCAAAAACGATTTGAAACGTGGTGTCACGTTTTGCTAGTTGGAGGACCCCAAAAAGTAGGGAGTCAGGAAGGAGCAGGGTGGCTGACCGAGATGTATTTTACAAAATGCAAACAGGAATACAATGGAGAAATTTAATCCAAAACTCACTCAAATAAAAAGTCCAGAAAAATCACAAGAAATCAAAGTTGCAAAAAACTTAAGACAGAAAACAAAAGATGACACGTGCACAGAGACACACACAACAGCAACCGAAACAATGACAGAAACGAACAATGACGCGACCCCGAGTGGTCGTGCCGGGAGTCCTTTTAAACAGACAACTAATGACACAATGACCAACAGGTGTGCAGCTGCAGGCGGTGCCCTACAGTGCCACCTGTTGGTCACAAACAGAACCATGACACATGGACTCGTCAGACCACAGAGGACGTTTTCTTTTTGCATCAGCCCGTTTTAGATGAGCTCGGGCGTTTCTGGCTGCTGTTGATCAATGGCATTGAATTTGCATCGTAAGTAGTTTCACGTTTCACTTCGGGATGTAGCGCCGAATTGTATTTAACGACATCGCCTGAATTTCACCTTCAAAGCTTCACTAATTAGTATCCTCAATTCCTAAACATTTATTGACTGTTGTTAACAGAAAAGGTGATGTAAGACAGTGGCGAACATGTCTCAGCTTTTTTGCAACGTGTTGCAATTCCAAGTCAATGATTAGTTGAAAAAAAAAAAAGAGGGGATCAATTTGAACTGGTTTTTCAAGAAAAGGTTGAACAATGATTTGCAAAAGGTCCCAACTTCCTTCGAATGGCTTGGTGAGAGAAGCTCCGAAATGCGCTCCTTAAATGCTAACGGTAGCCCAAAATGTCCACTGTGCTCACATATTTGCGTCCCGCTGTCTGTCCTCTTGCAGTTCAATAATTTCCAAACGCAACAAAGTGTGGGAGCTTGACTAACACGGACTTGCTCAGAGAAAACGAAAACCCAACCGTCTATTTGACGACGAGCGCTAAAATGCACTTTGTGTCCAAAAAGGTGTGCTTGGTTTGAGCTGTGCAAAAAAAAAAAAGCGGGTCGCCGCTTCATGGCAAAGTGCGGCTGCGACCACATGAGAAGGGTTACACAAACAGCTGACCATCTTTCGTTCGGAGGCGGTGTGGCCCCCTTAAAACGGGAGGCGAGGGTTAAAGTTTCAGGCCGGCCAGACGCCTGACTGACGTCAAGGTGAAGAAATGGTCCCGTCCACTTTTGGAGGGTTGTGAAATCATACGCTGCGCCGCACCGACGAGACCCTGGCCCTGTAACGTGAGCCGCCGTTTGGGATGAGTTAGTCCAAACCTCCGACGCGGAGTTTTTTAATAGCACACGCCAACCACCAAAACACAGTCTGGGCCCCAACAGGAGGTCCGGCCGCACGATCCGCATTGCTGTGTCCGAAGCGACCACGTGTGCGCTGCTGTCACTGCCACACAATGTGTCGGCGTCGCTCCCATGACAACGTTAGTGTCTCTTCACCAAAATACGTGCTGAAGCTGGAACCGGAATTCATTGCGCTGCTTTTGTAATCCACAACTCCTGAAGCTGCTGCAGTCGAAGAGAATTTAGCTTTTTCTATGTGTTCAGCAAGGACTTAGAGAATGACAGCGTCCGGTCAAAACTAGGGACACCAGTACTGTACTCAGACTGGAAGCGAATGCTCTGATACCTCCTCAGCGATACTTTACGAGCCTGACATTCAACTTCCAGAAGAGACATCACACAACTAAAATGCTTTGTAGTATCGGGTTCTACAGTCGAGCCTCGTTACAACGTACCCGGAGGGACAGAACGAATCCGTACGTTGTAACGGTAGTTCATTGTAACCATTGCCAATAAAATGGCCGCCAATTACAAGATATCATACGGCGTTGCGGACGTAAAAACATGAACATGTAGTACAGTGAACCGTATTTTCCACACTAAAAGGCGCACCGGATTATGAGGCGCGCCTTCAATGAATGGCCTATTTTGTCATTTTTTTCATTCATTATAAGGCGCATTCTACAATGCATCCACTAGATGGAGCTCCGCTCAAGGAAACGCCAACAGAACGATCAGATGTCAGTAAAACGTACTGAATAAAGCAGCGACACGGTTCACTTCACCAACAGCAAGTTAGAACATTGACTCGTTGACGTTGAACTCTCTTGCCGCTGCTCTATTTCCGTGTGCGTAACCCGATCGCCTTAAGTTTGAACTCTGCGTTGTCAGCGTGTCTCGAGCAAGGAGCCATTTTGGGGTCGAAATATTACCGTAATGACCATACACAAAGTGCATCGGATTTTAAGGCACGCGCTGTGAGCTTTTAAGAAAATGGAAAGCTTTTAGGTGCGCCTTTTGGTGCGGAAAATACGGTAAACATGTCAATTGCAAATACGTGCGTACAGGAAGAAGAAAGCGTTCAGTCAGCAAATGAAACGTGCCTCCTCCGCTTCAGGATGTGCCGAAGCCGCTGACGATCATCTTTCAATCCGTTGGCCTCGAACTCTGCCGCAATTTTGTTGCCGTGACGGATGATCGTCCAAAATCATTCGTAGACTCGGCCGAGCTTTCGTCTGGGAAATCCGTTCGCCAGACGTGTTTTCAGACCGCGCGCATGCCGTGCCTCCGGAAGTGCAACAAACGTACGGGTCGATCCGTAAGCGTTGCTGAGCAACGGAGGGGAATCCCGCGGCCTCCATTTTGTTTACAAGCAAGGTCGCGGCGGCAGTTTGCTTCCCGCGGTTCGTTGCGACGGAAGCCTTTTCGCTCTTTTGTGGGGAAAAATCTGGTCGTTAAAATGAAGTTGACGTCAGGAAGGTGTTCATTGGAAGCAAAATCGGCAAATCATCAAATGACGACAATGGTGTCAATTTTGAAATTGTGAAACTGTCCATGCCTCCAAGGCGTCTTTTTTATACCGCAAAGACAATCGTGTTCAAGAGGAAGCTTGGAACATTTCTGAGAACCGTCTGCGGTTCCACCACTTTTGGACCGCTTCCCGCAGAAACATGCAGCAGCTGGCCTGGAAGGGTCACGAGGGGAGAAATCTCCAAACAATAAAACCGTCCAAGTCATGTCAATGGACAGTGGGAATGGCCTTCGCCGGGGACTTTCAAACAGTTTTCCGAGAACTGTCTGCGTTCCCGCCGCATTTCCCCAGCGTCCCGCAAAAACGCGCACGGCCGAGAAGTCGCGCGGGGATTCTTGGAACAGGGAAGAAGTCCGACAGCAGGCAAACGGTCACGCGTGCTCTCAATACGACGTCACATTGATTCGACCCGAAAACGCAAAACATCGCACATCGACTTTCCCCGAGTAAGAATGAATCGGCCGCTGATTCACGTCAGACGGGCTGTTCGTAACGTTCTGAAATGTTCGTCATTTGATGTGGACGATGACGAGGCGTCCTCTTGCGGACCCCCGGTGACGTCGTCCGGTTGTACCTAATGAAGTGGCCGGCGATTGTGCATCACGGAAGCATGTGCTTTAAAAGAAAAGAAAAAAAAAAAAAAAACGATGGAAAGGAGAAGTGCGGGCGCGTCGTACGTCCTCGTGGAAGCGTGCCCAAACACGAGGCGCTTAAACCCTCGCCGCGAGACGGCGAACGCCAACCCCCCCGTCGCTCGAACCCGCAGACCCTCGGCACATTCCCAAACACGCACTCAGGCGTGCTCGGCGTACAACTTATGAAAAGCACATGGGAGGCAAATATTTCCCCGGCGGTACACTGGTCCGATTCATTCCTCTTTTAATCCGCTCTGCGCGCTCTGCCTAAAGGCGTCTCGCTTTCTCATACAAGTCACTTATTGATTCGGGCCGCTTACTCCAAACAAGATACGGTGTTAAAAGTTCCTTCAAAGTTCCAACACAATGCATTCCGCGACTTCCAAACAAAACTTCCCCCGCAGAGATCAATTACATTCGGAATCATTCGTTCCAGAGTCCGACATCAAAGCCTGACATCGGGCTCGGGGGAAAAACTTTGGTGCTCAAGGGCCACGTTTGATTTTCAACGCGGACACACGTGACAGATTGTTTGGAAATGTGTTAAAAAAAAAAAAAAAAAATATATATATATATATATATACACATACACACACACACACACACACACACACACACACACACACACACACACATACACATTTATTATAAGCGCTCGGTGGTCGACTGGTGAACACGTCAGCCTCTCAGTGCAGAGTTGCAGGGTTCATTCCAGACGTCGGCCTTCGTGTGTGGAGTTTCCATGTCCTCCCTGTGCCTGTGTGGCTTTTCTCCGGGTACTCCGGTTTCCTCCCACATTCCCAAAAACAAGCACGGCAGGCTGATTGGAGAATCGAAATGGTTTCTTGGTGTGAGCGTGAGCGCGGATGGTTGTTGGTCTACGTGTGCCCTGCAACTGGCTGGCGACCAGTTCAGGGTGTCCCCCGCCTGCTACCCGAGGACAGCTGGGATGGGCTCCAGCATGCTGCGTTTTCATTTGCATTGAATCTAAAGGTGCAGTTTGCAGTGTCAGAACTGCGGGCGAGATTTGAGTGTAGCCTCCCTTCACAAATTCCTCCCACGCAAATCTCTGACCAACGCTACTCCGCTCACGAATGTGCAAGAGCGGGATTTGCATATCCAGCTTTAACGAAACAGCGACGCTTGCGATAACAACCGGGCATGAGCACTGTTAACAAGCCAACGTTAGCTACAGCGACTCCGTCCGTTGCGTGACTTATTTGTCATGGAGTGTGACTGTCACACCAGACGATGGTTATTTTTTTGGGGGGGAATGTTTAAAAAAACAAAAAAACAAAATGAAGTGCTAATCTTACCTGAACTATCGAGCAGAAATGTTGCGAATTCCATCCCAGCTTTTAAATCCTGTCAGCTGCCTGAGGTCCCTTTGCTCCGCTTTTGTCTGCCATTCATTCATCTGCCCAGTTGCTGGCAGACGAGCGACGGCTATTCCACCGCGGTTGCAGCAAAAGCTCCTGTCGCCCAATCTTACTGGTTAGCGGGGTCGCCGTGAGTGTGCCCGCGAATGCACCAGCAATGATTGACACCTTGTCAGTTGTTTTTCCTCGTTCCGCGTTGTTCACAACTCATTTTTGCCATTCCTATAGTTTTGTTTTTTTTTTTTGACGGCAAAAGGTGATTTGGGGGGAAATTTGCAAACTCCCCCCCTTGAAGCGATTGCACTGACTTGAGTTTATCGTCTGTATTATTTATCAGTCTTGGGACCGGGAGAGTGGAGCCGAGGAGCAGGAATTTCTTGTTGAAATCCCGTTTCGTGTTACAGTACGCAGGGATACTCCTGTTACATGCCGAATGAAAAGATGCAATCCCAAGGTCATTGAGAGCTTTTGGATCGCACCGACGGAGCTCGCTCTGCATTCCAGCGCCATTGTCTTACAGAAAGACGCGGTAAAAAAAAAAATCCCTCACTGAGGCGGCAGCGCGCCATGTCCGTCAAGTAAAAGCGACATAATTGATGGCCCCTCCCCCTCCCGCCTTACAGTGACCCTTTTCCCCTTTTTTTTTTTTTTTTTTTTTTTTAAACGCCATTGTTGCGCAATGTGGCTAAAAGGGACAGGGCAGGGCTGATGAAAGGCAGATGTGGAGAGCAAGCAAAGCAGGCCTTCGGGGTAATGGGTGGGACTCCGCAAACTGCAAAACAAGGCAAAAAACAAAACAAAAAAAAAACAGCCAACAGACACTAATAGCCCACGTGAGGCTGTCAGACTTTTATTGGCACAGACGACGCCAGATCGTCTGTTGCGCAGGCCTGGTTGTTCAAGTTTGCGGTCGGGCCCGCTTTACGCGTCACGCGTCGGCGCCGGGATCTTCGCATTCGGAGCAAATGTCTGACTCGCCGCCTTGACGCTTTGCTTACCCGTCGACACGTTGCCGGGATCATCTGCTGCTGAGCTGCAGATTTCTTCGGCGGGCAGGCGGGCGAGCGCGTTATCGCTTGCGCGAGAGGTCCCCACGGCAGGTATTATTGATTTGCAAATTTGGACTTTCTGCCTTGACGTTCAATCTCCTTTGCGGTGAAAAGTTGCACGGAGCGAAATTTGGGCACGACGACTCCCACAGGTTTGGCGCCTCCGTCTCAACATCCGTGACCGTCCACCCTGTTTTGTTCCCCCTGACGGCAGGGCAGCCATGAAGCTCTTCAGGAAGGACGATCCCTCCACCAAGAAGGACAAGGACAAAAGGATCCAGTACGAGGAGCCGCCAGATGGCGGATGGGGCTGGCTGGTGGTGCTGCATTGTTTCCTGGTAACGTGGAGACCGACGCCGGTTTCGCGCTTTCATATGTGAAGACTCAAACACGAAATGGAACACAGCTTTCTGTGATGGTTCTCTCATTTTTTGTTTTGTTTCGCAGGTTAACGTCCTGGTGATGGGAACATTGAAGACCTTTGGGATCTTCTTCTTAGCCTTCCAAGACGAATTCGGGGGCTCGGCAGAAAGCATCAGCTGGATCGGTTCCATCATGTCCAGTTTACGTCTCTCCGGAGGTGAGAAAGCGCCAAACTTGCCTTGGGCGACGCCCCGTTCCTTGGATGCCAGGTGTCGAATGGCTCCCTCGGAGGGCGTGGCGACCGTCATGCTCACTTTCCTCTCCAAATTCGTTCTTCTCCGACTGCATTTCCAAGAACGATCGATCCATCGGTCACAACTTCGACAGTGGGAGTCTACCCGACTCCCGTGTTCCGGATCCTGTTTTGGCAGATGCAAATGGCCGACACTGCAAGACCAATCAGGCCGATGGGTTCAAAAAAAAAAAAAAAAACAACAACAACAACAAAAAAAGATAGAATGAAAATCTCATTCCAAATTGCTCAAATTCGGTGTCGGCACTCCTGCGCTCGGCATTTTGGGCGTGCGGCTGTGCCGTCACGCTCGCTGTCTTTGCTGTCACCCATCAGCGCCCATCGCTTCGGTGGCCTGCGCCAAGGTAGGAACCAGGGTGACGTCCATTACGGGGGCCGTGCTGGTCAGCGGGGGCTTCCTCATCAGTATTTTCGCCAACAGCGTGCTGTTCCTCTACATCACCATGGGAGTCATCGTAGGTGAGCGGCAAACGTCACGCCTGCGGATTTCCGTCACGCCTCCGGGACCTCCCTTACAAAATTTTTTTTAGGATACAACATCATCATTTATTGTCAATTATTTCGGAGAGCCGGCGGGGTTTGCCAAACCGTGGCCTGAAAAGCTTTCCTCCGTTCAGGAATGGGTTTCGCACTTCTGTACCAATCCTTCTCCGTGGTCACGGCGCTTTACTTCCGCAAGAGGTTGGCAACGGCGTACGCCATCGGACGCTCGGGGATGGGTTTGACCTTTGCCCTGGCTCCGTTCACTCAGCTGCTTCTGGACCGCTACGCTTGGCAAGGTAGGCGGGACCAACGCAATCGCGACGTCCGAATCGAGACGCATCTCGATATTTTGACCGTTTGTAAAATGGAAATGGGCTCGACGGGCCGCGTCGGTCGGTCCGCCCGTGTGTCCCCGGCAGGCGCGTTGCTGATCCTGGGCGGCCTGATGCTCAACCTGGTGGCCACCAGTATGCTGCTGCGTCCCATCCGAGTGAAAGCCGCCGCCTCGTCCAAATGCGCTCCCCCCAGCCAGAAGAGCCCGGCCGTGTCCCTCAAGAGTTCCTCGGAGAAGGACAACGCCAAAAGCTACCTGAACGGCTCCTCGCATTTATCCAACGGCATCTCCAAATCGGACTCGCTCGCGTCGCCTCCCGAGGAGCCGGTCGGCGCTCGGCAAACCAAGGAGCCGTCGGTGAACCCCGAAGCCAGCAGATCGGTTCTCAACGGCCACGAGAGCCGCCGAAACGCGGGTCCGTGCAAGCCCGCCGCCGACGGTTCCCCGGAGCTCAACGGCACCTCGAACGGGTCCGCCCCGGTCGCAGCCCTCTCCGTTCACGGCGAGGAGACTCCCCCGAAAGCCAAAGTACTCGATTTTTCCTTACTCAAGGACCCGTTCTTTTGCATCTACACGTGGTCTTTGGTCTTCAGCCAGCTGGCCTACTTCATCCCTTACTTCCACCTGTCTGCCCGAGCCAGAACGCTGGGCATCGACGCCATGGACGCGTCCTTTATCATCTCTGTGGCGGGTAAGGCCCACACTGAACACGCCGTCTTGTCACCGCACGCATTTCACCGGGATGTCGTGGTATCGATCTGGCCGACGGGATCGATGTGGACCGACCGATCGCGATGATGCTCGTCGATGACCTCATCACACTCGCCTCAGTGAGTTGGCAGCCGTCCGCGCGCCGACTTTGCCTCCCGTCCTCTCCGCTTTCCCGGCTGCTCGGCAACTACTGGGGGGAATGCCAGGCGCCCAGCGAACGAGCGCCGAGCTGAGGCTGGCTCGCAGAGAGAAACAAAACAAAACAACAACAGAAAAAAAACATCAACCTTTTGGGGGTGTATCTGTAAGAGCGACCCCAAACAAAAAGTTTTGTCAGCGTTTCGGGTCAGGTCGGCGGTCGTCACTCTCATCCTCCTTCTCGGAAACAGAAGCAGTCTGTCACCCGCGGTCTCTACCTCCGCTCCGCCGGAGTTCCAGTGCCATCCTGATCAACTTTCATTGGGTCCGCTTTCAAAGCAACTGAATTCTGTTTGGATATCAAGTTGCCAAGTCGAAACTGTCACCACGTTCTTCACGAAATCTACCGACAATATTTTCAGGTGACGATATGAATTGTGATGTCATCGAGCCCGACGATTCGTGGGGCAAAGGGAGCGGGCCGGCCCGCAAATCGAGAAAATCCTCGTGTCACTGGCCCCCACTGAAATGCATTGAGGAAAATAATTCCATCAAAATATTCCAAAAATACTTGGAAAGATTCACTCCACTGTACTCGTATGGAACAGAAGCTCAGGTGACGATATGAATTGTGATGTCATCGAGCCCGACGATTCGTGGGGCAAAGGGAGCGGGCCGGCCCGCAAATCGAGAAAATCCTCGTGTCACTGGCCCCCACTGAAATGCATTGAGGAAAATAATTCCATCAAAATATTCCGAAAATACTTGGAAAGATTCACTCCACTGCACTCGTATGACCTGTGGATTATTCATCCGAGAAATTAATTCACAGTTTCTGCTACCTCCTCGGCAGCCATCAAAAACGTACTTGTCGCCTGCGGCGTGTGGAGCTTTCATGCACAAACAAAAGAATTCGCTTTCAGTTCTCTTGTTGCGGAATCACCCATTTCGATGGCGAAATGCGTGGTGACACGTGACTGTGGCGAGGCCACAGCGTCACACTTGCCGTCACGGTGTGTGGTGGTGGTGGTGGTGGACCCAAAAAGCAGGCAAGAGGGAGAAGCAGGTTGTACTTGAAGAAGTGTATTGAAACCGAGAAAACGAAATCCAAAACAAACATAGTCCAAAGTAGCAAACAAAAATCACAACCGAAGCTAAAACAGAACTGTGACCAAAACAAACCTGACAGCAGCAGACAAACGGCAACAAGCAAACATGACAGCAGCCAAGAGCAAACAATGACCCGACACCGAGTGTTCGGGCTGGGAGTCCTTTTAAAGCACTAATTACATCATGACCAACAGGTGCGCAGCTGCAGGGAGAGCCCTACAGTGCCACCTGTTGGTCCCAAACCGAATCATGACACTTGTGCTTTCCGACGCTGCCGAGGCGCTCCGACTTTGTGTGTCCGCGCCTGTCGGACTGCGCACAGAAGGCGGAAAGCGCGTCGGGTTAAATCTTTGGTGTAAAAATGGAGAAATACCCAAGTCCGCATGCGCCCTTTGCCGCGTCAACGGTCATCTCGCGTCACGAGGCCTTTTTGCTTTCTAAAGGTGCGGCGTTCCAATCAGCTCGTCACCATTCCACGAGGCGCTCATCACCCGGCAACGGAGACAGCGCGCGTGCCTATTCGCGGTTGTTACACGAGCAATCATAAATACCGTCGGCTACTTGTACTGTTGTAAAACATAATCTGTACATGGCCGCTTGGCTCTCCAACGATCGAGTGATCGCTGGTTTAAAACGCGTCAGCGGGCCGATCGCTTATGATCATCACTCGGATGAGTCGTCTCAAAAAACAGGTCGGGCTTTTTTTTTTGTGATGGAATCGTTCAAAATCCGCTCAGCGTTGGGGTTTCCGACGGATAGGATCAGAAGAGGAAGACGACGTCCAACAAATGTGTAATAGAGTGCATAAAGTAAATGACATTTTCTTTTATTATGAATCATCAGGGGCGGTACGGCAGGCGACTGGCTAGCGTGTCGGCCTCACAGTGCAGAGGCGCAGGGTTCGATTCCCGCTCCGACCTTCCCGTGCGGAGTTTGCATGTTCTCCGCGTGCCCTGGATGGCTTTTCCTCCCACATTCCAAAAACATGCGTGGCAGGTTAATGGAAAACTCGATCGAAATTGTCCCTCGGTTTGAGTGTGAGCGCGGATGGTTGTTCGTTTACGTGTGCCCTGCGATTGGCTGGCGACCAGTTCAGGGTGTCCACCGCCAACTGCCCCGAAGGCAGCCGGGAGAGGCTCCAGCACACCTGCCCCCCCCTTGTCAGTAAAGCAGATTAGAAAATGATTCATCAGGGCTACTTTGACTCCCCTATTCCATCCTCTACCGCAGTAGTCGCCAACATTTTTTGGTGTCACGGACCAGCTGAGACAAGTACATGCTATTCGCGGACTGCCAACCATTTTTTCCCCCCCCCGTTGCTTTTAAGTTTTAAAGCACTGGTACTGACAACAAAGAGCGTTATTGAGCAATTCAACATTTTATCAACATAGATTATTTTTTTTCGTGTTCATTTCAAATGGGTGTTATTCTGCTGTACATCAAAGGTAGAATAAAATAAAATTACACAGTGAACTGTTAGGAAATGGACCAATCAGGAAAAATAAATATGCCTCATCATGGAAAGAGAATCATTTTGAAGTTCTGCTCCTCCATACGGCGTTAGCATCATCGCTACGTGCAAATGTGACCGACCAAAAGATGACACGATTGATTGCGGCTTTCATCCGGTGGCTGCCGGCTAGCTTTTAGCGACTAAACTGCTCATGTCTGCGCGGGCAGCGATTCAACATGTTTCTCGAATTGCCTTGTTTTCAGCGACATTAGCACACAACAGCGTCCTTTTCCACGCCGTTTGACAATTCAACATTTTATCAACATAGATTATTTTTTTTTAGTATTCATTTCAAACGGGTGTTATTCTGCTGTACATCAAAGGTAGAATAAAATAAAATTACACAGTGAACTGTTAGGAAATGGACCAATCAGGAAAAATAAATATGCCTCATCATGGAAAGAGAATCATTTTGAAGTTCTGCTCCTCCATACGGCGTTAGCATCATCGCTACGTGCAAATGTGACCGACCAAAAGATGACACGATTGATTGCGGCTTTCATCCGGTGGCTGCCGGCTAGCTTTTAGCGACTAAACTGCTCATGTCTGCGCGGGCAGCGATTCAACATGTTTCTCGAATTGCCTTGTTTTCAGCGACATTAGCACACAACAGCGTCCTTTTCCACGCCGTTTGAGGCTTACATAGGAACTTCTCTTGTCCAAATCGCTTCATCTTCGGAAGTCACGGCTGCCCATTAGCTGCGCATTTAGCTAGCTGGACGTTTGGTCATGTTGTTCCTCTTACTTTCTCTTTAGTATTAACTGGCGGATTCTCTGGATTTCAACTTGCAAACTCCGATTGGCTCGAGTCAGGCACATTTACGCCACGTCTGATAGAGTCAAGTTGCGCCAGTTGAGCCAATGCGCTCCAGTACTCTACTTAATCAAAACATACAGTCACCGCATGATTTAATGCAATGGGAGGAATCCGTTTTGAATGATCATACCCGAAGACCCCCTCTCCTTGGATTCAATCATGACACACTCGAAAGGAGAAGTTGTTTCAAATTTTCCAACTGCCAACGAAAACAACGTAGTTCCCGTTTTGTGTTAGCGTTAAAGCTAGCGGACTTTGATTGAAAACATATGGATGGCTTTGAAACGAGCACGCAAGAGCTCAGTGTGACGTTTACGAGCTGGAAGGAGGCTCGCCGGGGTGCTGTAAGAGCCGCTTCATCAAGTCCTCCATCAACTTGGTGGCCATGAATTATTCGTGAGCTGCTCAGACGCTGCAGTATTATGCAATGAATGCGCTTACATAAAAGGTGAGTCCACCGCCAACTGCCCCGAAGGCAGCCGGGAGAGGCTCCAGCACACCTGCCCCCCCCTTGTCAGTAAAGCAGATTAGAAAATGATTCATCAGGGCTACTTTGACTCCCCTATTCCATCCTCTACCGCAGTAGTCGCCAACATTTTTTGGTGTCACGGACCAGCTGAGACAAGTACATGCTATTCGCGGACTGCCAACCATTTTTTCCCCCCCCCGTTGCTTTTACGTTTTAAAGCACTGGTACTGACAACAAAGAGCGTTATAGAGCAATTCAACATTTTATCAACATAGATTATTTTTTTTCGTGTTCATTTCAAATGGGTGTTATTCTGCTGTACATCAAAGGTAGAATAAAATAAAATTACACAGTGAACTGTTAGGAAATGGACCAATCAGGAATAATAAATATGCCTCATCATGGAAAGAGAATCATTTTGAAGTTCTGCTCCTCCATACGGCGTTAGCATCATCGCTACGTGCAAATGTGACCGACCAAAAGATGACACGATTGATTGCGGCTTTCATCCGGTGGCTGCCGGCTAGCTTTTAGCGACTAAACTGCTCATGTCTGCGCGGGCAGGCTGTGCAAACTCTGCTCGCGTTCTGTCCACTTCGTCACTGGGGTGCTCCTTGTTCAAATGATTCAACAGGTTTGTCGTATCGCCTTGTTTTTGACGACATTAGCACGCGCAACGGCGTCCTTTTCCACGCCGCTTTGGGCTAAGGGAGGAACTTCTCTTGTCCAAATCGCTTCATCTTCGGGAGTCACGGCTGCCCATTAGCTGCGCATTTAGCTAGCTGGACGTTGGGTCAAGTTGTTCCTCTTACTTTCTGTTTACTACTTCTTCTTTCTTTTATTGGCGTATTCTCTGGATTTCAACTTGCAAACTCCGATTGGCTCGAGTCGCGCACATTTACGCCAAGTCTGATGGAGTCAAGTTGCTCACGG